CGATGCAGGAATAACGTTAAGTCCACCCCGGCTAGGTGACATCGCTCGATGTAAAAGCCCGATATAAATCGCTCAATGTGTTTTCAGCCAAGTGAATGACAGCTTGTAGAAGAAAACGTGATCAAGTGTTACTGGAAATCCCACGTAAAATAAAATACGGTAATGTATCCATGAAGATACCCATGAGGAACGCTCCAAATAAGGAGAATCTTGGGCGCATCTTCTGAATCGCGGATTCCCCATCTACGGAATATATTCCAGAGAGAGAACATCGTTTCTAGTTCTCAAAATAGCTGAGAAGAACTATCGCGGTGAAAAACTCTTGCGGTACTGAACCAGATTTCCAGTTGATTGAATGGCTGTTGCTATTAGGGGTTTGGTGTACTCCATGGTCATAGCTACGGATTCTTCTCTGCCCGACATCACTCAGGTAGGACGTGAGTTGAAGCCACTTACACACAAAGCAACAGTCTTCGGAATTACTTTGTGATATCTATGCAAATTACGGGCTAAGGGGGTTACACCGAAAAATAACGAAAGCACGACAACCTGGTATTTACTGAAATCCGAGAACGTATGGTTGTAATCCTTGATACTAACAAACATTTTCTGGAATTTTTCCAAGGGTTTGTCTGAGTGCTACGGTAACTTATTGTTTCCAATAGGGTAGGCGATTGATCACGTCGCGTTGTATTTGGTATTCACGGTATCTGGGGTTGATTGATCTCGTTTACAGCAGCCATTTCGGAAAACAAGAAAACACAAGAAAGCTGCGTAGAGCGTTCAGACACAACATTCTTGCAGCGAAGATTTGCAACATCATTCTTGACAGTCTGCCATCCCATGAGAAAATAAATCCGGCGGGAATAGATATTCGCATTGCTTGGTGTTTTCTGGTGCAAATTACTCGCTATCATCAACGAAGTCTCTGCAACAGGACAGAACCAATTGGTTTGCCGAAGCGCTCTTTTTCAGTGGTACTAACAGTTATATTTTTTTACGAAATGTTTTCTCTCCATAACGAAATGATGCCTAACCCATATTTCCCGACGTTTTTATGCATAAGATACCGCTTAGTTGTCAATGAGTACTGGACGGAAATGATGGAAGTTAAACACTCACTTAGAGTAGACACCCTAAGTTACTGTATCCACAGAAAACAAGTATTGTACTAATGTCGTTTGAGTGCTCAAATTGGCAATCGGATTTCGGAAAAAATTAGTTTGGGGCGTGATAACATTCCAGAGTTAGTGGGGTTACTGTGCAGAATGAGTGTTGACGAAGGTATAGGCAAATACATCCGGAATAGCACCACCAGCGTTATGTTCAGCCATATGACATGATGATACTCTAAAACAAGTAGCCGATTGTCTGTTCGTCAAAAATTTCAGTTTCCTGTGTGTCGCCACCACTCAAGGTGACATCAGTAGCGGTGTGTAGGAAAATCATAATCTGACCAAAGCTCTTCTGATATAGCGGTGAGCACAAGAAAATGGCCAGTTTCTCTATTCTTTGTGGTTAGCTTGAACTGATTTATACACACCAAAGACCAGTAGATGATGCGCACCAGAGGACCCAGATCGCTGTGACAGCTGAACTGAATTGATGAGACTAATATTCATAGTTCATTAGATGTTGATAGCATTTTGCTGTCCTAAACTGGCCGTCGAAATACTTTTACCGTCCCATCTTCTAAATGCAATTCTTCATTATCGAAGCGAGGTCAAACTATGCTGGAAAGTTAATAGTGCCGTATAGCTACCTTCATAGCCCTGTAGGAAATCATGAGCAGTGTGAATCACACAAATCGGTGGCTCTCCGTTCTGTACTTGAACACCACACCAATCGTCCACGAGTGGCCAGTCAGCAGAATAACAATACAGCTTCTCGGCTTTTCGGCATAGATTGGCTTCATTTACAGGACGGAATCTCCACAAAAATCCCAAATCTCCTCACTGCCAACAATATATAAGTAGCTCAGTGGAAGAGTAAACTTCACCCGATGAGTGAAACTTCTATCTGAGAAGTCGTTGCTCGAGGAGCCAGTGAACATGTGTGACCGCGTGATGTGGATCCCGTGATTGAAGGATGAGCGGCGCTATATCCTAAGTGCGAGTTAATCACACTGCTGATCAGCCACTCGTGGCCGAACGGTTAAGTGTTCAAACTACTAGCCGGGAGGTCGCGGGTTCACAACTCTTTGGAGTTTCGTGAGATGCGCACTGCTGATGATTCCCAATAAGGATGAAACAGCTGCACAGTGCTTCTCGGTTTTTCGGCATAGATTGGCTTCACTTACAGGACGAAATCTCCGCAAAAGGTGTAGGAATTCCCCAACTACATGTTTCGCATTATCGAATCCGGTGTCGGCAACTTTTCAAATGAAATACGACTGGTAGGTAGTGAGGATATTCTAAAGTTGCAACGAACATTTCAGTCATTTCTAACAAGGTCAAAGGCCGCAAATGGAAGTTCCCAAAATTTTCGGTTTAGCACGGTGTTCAGTTCAGAAAGGAACAGAGCTAATCAGTTCACTTTTCAAACCCCTCCTTGGGGGCTACTGCTGTACTTACGATATGATGAATGGTCTAGTCTCCTAATGAAAAAAACGAGCCCTATACAGTGACGGAATGAAGTCTTCCGGTGAGTGCTCCTAGAGACAAATCAAGAGGGAAAAATTGAACCGGTAATTTCACCGCTTAGGCGTGTTTTGAGGCCTTCAAACCTGAGAAGCAAACGCTCAACAGACTCACCAGAACGTGTGTCTTCACTGAGAGACAATGTCCTGCTTTGTGGACCACGTTTTTTGCACACAGTTCTGACGTCAGAAAGGCTCACATCGGAACTCCTTGCCATTTTACACGACCTCAGTTCAGGTTACCAGACACCATCTCAAATAAGTTAGAGGCTACAGGGAGAAATTATATATTAATACAGCCCAAGCTCGTTAGTGTACCACAAAATACCTTATGGAAAATCACCCCCTGTCCTGCCGTGCTCACGAGGAGCGTTCAAAGTCATTGACTAGGAGATGCGTACGAAACGTGGGACCGTGAAACCAGGATGTGCAAACTTACTCCACTTGTGTGTCTCACTACTACAGTGAGCAGGGGGAGTTGAACCAGAACACATGGATTCCCGACATCTTGTCCCCGTGGCTTTGCAGCAAGTGACGCGTATGGGAAATGGTACAGTCAATTTCTGATTGGCCAAAAATAATGCTGACGTTGACTTTAGCCTACCTTGCCTCCTCCTCGCCCTGCTACATACACAAGCACAAGCAGATAATCTTTCCGCCCGTCTAAGCACTGCTTCAGAAAACCAACTTATTCAGCCACCCGCAAGTCAGGATGGCAATGCTGAAACAGTCAATTTCTCACTTGCGTGTTAGTTGCAGCGATAGGCAAAGGTACACGCACACCCACACTACTCGCTTCAGAAACACATGAAAGGGAGGTTACGATGAGCCAATAAAAATATCCTCTCGTGCGATGTCAATGTGAACGTTTCCTTCACCCACGTCAATAAAGATTACCGCCGACTGACGCCGTTAAGTGTTTTCAAAGTTATTTTGTGATGGTGACGATAGGCCAACTCTAGTTGACACTGACGGTGTCAGTTAGGTTTGAAAAGGGAACCAGCTAGCTTGAGATGAGACTCGATGTCTCCGTGGAAGAATATACGATACCTGAAGTGTTCGCGACATGACATCACATCCGTTATCATTCACGGAAGACGAGCCCGTTCAAGCTATAGGGAATTTCAGCCTGTTCCGTTAGGATACGTGAAACTGTCACCCATCGGTAGACGACACAAGGCATACAGGAAACAGCGACGTCACTCTGAATCGCAGACTTCAGCTACATGCCCGAATCAGAAGCCTTAAAATCAAGGACGACTATGGGTTAGTGACAGCAGCATGTGGCTAGACAGGGTTTCACGGCTGGTGTCTCAATTCCCTGGTCAGTTTGAATAGGAATCCAAGTGCACACGACGCAAGCAAAAGACGGACGTCCTTGAGCGAAGCCAGACGGTGGCCTTTCGCTTCCAGGAAATTTACTCGCCAACTGTTCCACTGCAACGCTAGTACAAAAATCCACCGTATCTTGAAAGGCCTTCATAGGGAATTTATCACTGGACAACCCTACTGTCTGCCTAGAGTGAGGGTTCATTAAGACATGAAAGCATATGGAAACCAATCAGTCACCAACCTGCACCTTGTCTTCGAAGGAATCACGGAAGTAATATTATGGCTGACCATGTGAGCCTGATGCACTCTGAGCTCCAGCAAAAAACATCCGTGTGGTCTATGGAATGACTGAATTCACACAAAATATCGCCCCACAGGATAGACATCACTTTGACGAACCGGGTTTCACGTATCAATCATTGTCATAACTGGAACAGATTCAATGATCTGTGGAGGCAGGGAAACCTGTTACCCGAAAGATAACGCGGCGGAAGAAAGAGGGAGCTCTGGAATTCCCTGGGGTAAATAACTCCGTTGCCAATGCACATGGGAAATCCGGGGGACTATGTCTGGACATAGCCTGTTCTTAACTGCCTATCGGATCTTCTGAATTCACGGTACGCAACGAACAATGCTACACTTTCAGCTGAAGACCAGACCAACGTAGAGATGGAAAGCATGAAATTCTTCTAATGCCCAGCTAACGAGTTTGAAAATTTCCGTTACTGTACACGGAATTACCTGCAGCTAATAACATGTAAACTATAGAACAGACATAAATCGCTCGTGTATTTGAGGATTGTTCTCCTAGTCCACACGGAAAAGCTAGAGGATCCATGCATTGTACAATTTACTATCCCAACCATCCCGACCGTTTCCAAAAGCAGGTCAAATAATGAGACGGTACAGTGAATAAGCACAACAGTTGTTAATTTATTCACTTCGAATAAAGCGAGCGACTATTTACAGATGGTCTGTTGAGTGGTGCAAGTGAGCTGATAAGAAATGCTGATGAGTCTACGGAAAATATTCACCACCGACCACGTTTACTCCAGTCCTTAGCCTTCCAGTGTATCAGCTTTGGATCCACCCGCAGAGCCCGGCGCTCCATCGACTTGTGTTGACTAGCGATCAATTCTCGGGAAAGGTAGATCACATGCTGTCCTTTGACATAGAAAAGCACGTTGAGATTGGACAATGTGGCGATCACATCATCCCGTTTGATCGATGTTCGTTCGACGATGTCACTGGAAAAAAACAGGATAGAAAAAGTGTTGCTACAGCAGAAACACAGAAAAAAAGGAAAATAAAAGAACGAATTTGGCTGGAACGACCGCACTTTTTGGTTCAAACAACAGAAACAATCGTTCAGCCGTAACATCCTTTTGGTGCATGGCTGCCCTGTTGCCAAAAGAAAGCGCAAAGGCCGAGATACTGCTGCCCAAGCCCAGACAGGAGCAGGAGGGATGACGAAGGTAGGTTCCAAAAACGGACCCTTCAATCAGTAAGTTGGTGCCCTAACGACTGAATTATTTCGATCTTTGGAATCAAGAATTACTGTCCTGTCAGAATGAGAAAATATACAGCAGAATCAAGATGAACATCCGCGACTAGTTCGACAGAAATGCCGCTCAAGCTAGCCGATTACCCAGAATGTTTCAGCTTCTTCCCAGTATGGCAGTCATTTAATTTGGAAAGTCTATCGTTGGAAACACTATCTATTTGGTTCCAGTTTCCGTCATTACTAATGAGGGTAAAAAGAGCTTCAGTTGTAACGTCAAATGTGTTCTGGGGAAGTGAAATGCTAACACAGCCATTCAATCTCCATCGGTGGTTAAAACGGACTCCTTGGCGAAAATATGGCGCCAAGATATGTTTCTGTTGACAGAACGTACCTCAGGTTCATGGGGCTTATTTAGTACAGCCACTTTGAGTTGATCAACATTATGGAACACGCTGTCTTCAGGATGGTAACTCTTCTCGTTATCATGTCGCCAGGACTATTTATGTGTTTAAGGCCATAGACAAGAGTGAGCTCGTCCAAAACTCAAAATGCGAAAAGAAAACATCCACGGTTTTACCAGGTCGTCCGAGCAAACTGACGTGATATTGGGTTCGAATTTCGCCCTCTGACGTCTACGCTTTCTTGAAACTGGATGATTCGATGTCCAAATGCCGGTAATAGATAGAACCATAGATGTGTCTGTATCTGGAAGAATTATCTTCACAATTATACAGCAGGTGGAGGTTTTCTGCGACAGCATTAAATTAAAACCTGTTATCCGGGTCTCTTCTACACAAAACCAATACAGACCATTTCTTAAGAACTCGAGTTTCAAACATTTTGGAAACAAACTCGTCCGCTTCTGGAAAGACCAGTCCTCCAAAGAAACCAAGTTTGCGCCACATGTATGCAGTAGAGGAGATCACTGTGGCTTGGCCCCTTGAGGGGTCTCTTCGGAGGTGGGATACATGTGTACTCTCGGTTATTTAAAGTCTAATCCACATATTGCAATGGGCAAGACTGGTAGCTAGAACAGGGATTATCTGGGAGGTCTAAAACCTGGCTACTTAACGGACAAAACAAACCGATTCGATCGGTTACTAGACATGACTTTCTTCACTCGGCTGCCAATACGCTTCAGGGGCCTAGTTGGAAGGTCAGTTGGGGGTGTCGGTGTTCAGATAAAAATGGTTCCATACCTGTCGGATTCAGAGCTTCAAATAAGACATGACTTTTCACCCTCAAACAAAATTACAAGTAACCTACTGCAAAATGACGACCACAGCAGGCTGGACCAGCTCCCTTGGAGGGATAATTGTAATGTCACTTCATTGTCCACTGAATGTGATTCCTGTCTAGAATGTCTTCAGGCTTTGTCCCATTTTGTCCATGATTATGTTCGTTTGAGAACCGTTTGAGAACTCAGTAAACTCACGGATATTCGTACACAACATCCACTGGGAACACCGAACAACTAAATCTAGTATTGAAGCGTCAGTGTCAAAACTGATGTTGCTGTTCAGATAAAAATGGTTCCATACCTGTCGGATTCAGAGCTTCAAATAAGACATGACTTTTCACCCTCAAACAAAATTACAAGTAACCTACTGCAAAATGACGACCACAGCAGGCTGGACCAGCTCCCTTGGAGGGATAATTGTAATGTCACTTCATTGTCCACTGAATGTGATTCCTGTCTAGAATGTCTTCAGGCTTTGTCCCATTTTGTCCATGATTATGTTCGTTTGAGAACTAAGTAAACTTACGGATATTCGTACACAATGTCCACTGGGAACATCGAACAACTAAATCTAGTATTGAAGTGTCAGTGTCAAAACTGATGTTGCTACCTCTGATGATGAGCTGGACCGTTTGTATTCTGCAGCTTCATTAGCCTGTCTGATATGTGACTTCCAGTCGCCGGTGACTTGACACTGCGTTCCCTGGCCAGTGCTTGAACAAAGAGTTTTCCGAAGAAAAAATTAAGTTGTTCGATATCAGTAGGTTTCGGTACTATGTGCAACGCGTTAGATAGACCTTCCTTGGAACTCACGATCTTTCTTCTCGGATCCAGTCGATCGAGTAGTCACTATGGGTTCGTTCAACTCTTGCTGACTTAATGAATTGAATTTAGATAAAGCATCGCAAGCCTATCTGACTTAAGTCTATTACCAAAACTCACTGATTTGGTAGATGTTAGATGATTTATTACCGAGAATTTAGGCTCTCAGCAGAAAGAAATAATTTCTCTTCACTGATATGCATGGCCAGTGGTTAGAGCGCGAATGTATCTGACTTAAACCTATTACCGAAAACCCACCGATTTGGTGTTGGATGATTTATTACTGAGAATTTAGGCTCTCATCAGAAAGCAATAATTTATGATAGTAATAATTTCAATGATATTTTCACTCATATGCATGGCCAGTGGTTAGAGCGCGAATTTACTGACCGGAAGTCAATTCCATTCAATTTATCACCTAAAACCATGCGCCATAAGCACATTGCCTTGCTGAAACAAAACATCCCATCAACCCTAGAAGAGCCAAAGTCAACTCACTTGATGCTCAACGCAGGTTCTTGACCAGGCTCCGTAGATTTGCAGTTAAGGAGCAATTCCAGTATGGTTTGGGCCCAATAAGAACGATAAGACAGTAGACCAAGATCGCTGAGTGGTTTTTCCGGAGAACCGGACTTGCCTTCTAGCTTGCTGAGTTCATAACCTAGAAGTGGAGTGAAAGAACTTGGATTCAGTCATCTGTGAGTATTGCATCAAAATACAACGAACGTACAACACACAGGCTTGGAGTTAACTACGGTACAGTTGGCATTTATGTACTAATGGTCAGCGTTACCTCGAATTGTCCAGAATACTCTAACGCCTCTGCTGGAACTAATCAACACCATGCCTCTCATTCGGGAAGAACGTCTTTAGACTCTTCAGACTACGACTCGGTTCTATTATATGATCCTGCATACCGGTGCGTGTCCACGTGAGAGGAAAATGGTGCGTGTCATCAACGAACGAATTAGCAGCAGCAGCAGCTCTGTTCTTTCTATAACTATAACTTGATCTGCGAGCCATCCGCGGTCAGTTCCGTTATTAGGGCATATTGGGTACGTGTGCGGCCAACCAACGACTTACTTATTGGGCAGCTTGACAAAAGAATCTGCTGGCCAAAACAAGAAAACGAAGTTTCCTGAGACGTGATGGTGAGATCTGCCGTAATTTGACGGATTCAGCTGAGAATGGGAAGCTTGGTTAAGGTGCAGTAAAAGGTCCGGAATAGCTCCATAAGGATTAAGGGTGAATTAGCCATGACTGTCTGTGAGTTCCTACTCAACACTATACTGCCGTCAACTGGCGCATAGCTGTCATGTAACCCATGGTAAGTACAGAAAGTAAGATACTGCAAGTTTTATTAGACAGAAGTAACCACGCAGCCGATTGAGTAAGACTGGAATTGCAGAACCTTCCATTATGGAGACCAGTCTGTGTTATCTCAGTTTCTCACATTTCGGCTACGATATTCGGATACCTTCCTAATACCAGGAGTTTAAGGAGAGGAGACACTGTGACAAAAATACCGATGAAACCACAAAGGTAATACCACACTTCTAGTTTATCGTAAAATGGCTGACATAGTCACAGAGACTTACAGAGCTACGAATAGAACAATAAGTACACACTGCAAGGAACCTCATCAAACTTACTGAATTCAATCAGAAACTTCCCATATCCTTTACACTGAAACGGAGGAAGCACAAGGATGCAGGCCACATTGTAGTCCTCAGAAGACTCCTTCTCTTTGGAAAAATAGCCAACCAAATGAAATCCACGCGAGTCTATTTCGCACAGGACGTAGAACAAAAAGGGATCCGTGTCGTAGTACAGTGTTTTATGATCCAGGAAGAGCTTCGCTAATAGACACAAGTGTTGCGCGTAGGTCTAAAGAGAAAGAAGGAAAGTCGGTAAACAAATCCATGGACCCAGAGAACTTCTGAGACAAGCCAGTTTGTCTCAAAGCTCTGGTCTCAACCTGCAGAAACTTCCAAGTCAGGTGAAAGCGTACCTATATACAATCAAACCGCTTATACGACTGCTGATTATAGACAGGGGTTTTAATCTAAGGTGGCTTTTCTGGGTAGCACACATTAACTTGGAAATTTTGTAAAGGCGAGTTTGGTCGTTGGAACTTGATCACTTGGCGCTGGCATCGCTGATATAACATTTCATGACAGAATGTCAGAATTGGGACAGCTATGGAGTCTGAAAAGTGGATTGATGGAGCTCATACAGCAAATTAAACAACGTATGGATTGTATATAACTCATTGAAAAGACATGGGTCGGGCGAGAAGCCACGAGTGGGTTGAAAATAGCGGTTATCCCAACTGCAAATTCGTTTACCGCGCGTTGGACGTCGAAGTCAAAATTATTCGAATACCGAACTGGTATACACTCAAGTGGCTTCGCGAATCAATCCATGCGACCAGCTTGGTGAGGAATAGAATGTGTGGGGAATAGAACGTGATCAGTAGTCACATAAATAAAAACGGAAAAAAGTTTGTCCGACCTCGAATAACGACCGAAATCTATGAAAACCGGTGTCCTTGGATGGATTGAAACACTCATATGAGAACAGCGATGGTATCGACGTTGAACCCGAATAAAGCTCCATATTGTGGCGCTTTTCAACTGAATGTGCGGCGCAGAAAACTACGTCGGAGTTCTGTTCAAGACACTCTTAACGGTACATCCTACTTGCAAGACGGATGAGAACTAATTTTATTAAGTTAACATCTTACTTCACACATTAGTGTTTAATTCCACATGCGCGAAATTCGGTGTCCAGACTAGAGGTGATGTTGGTGAAAATTTGTGGAGTTTACCCACCCGATGAGCCCCAAACAGTAACAACAACAGTGGCTCAGATCAACCTTTTAAGTGGCATACTATATCAAGGTGTTCGTTGAATTGCAACAACACACAGTACGTGACCTTAACCTGAACAAAGACCTTTTAACACCACCGAATTCGTCTCCTCTTGATCAGTTGGTGAAGGAACAAGCAAGACGATATCTCATCTACTGTCTGCAGTTCGACAGGTCGGACAAACGTATGCACTTTAGCAACAGTAGAAACTAGTTTTGGTAACGCTGTAGAACGTTGACAGAACCCATAAATTCCAGCCTCAACAGAAGCCTGGACTCCTGTCCGACATACTTGAAAGGTCACACTATCAGCTACCTACCATGTACCAGCTGCTGCAGTTCCAGCCTTGTCTTACACCACAGGGCTGAGTAGGACCACGCGGCTGTCGGTTACCGAGGGAACGCGTCTAAAGATTGCCGTTCTTTCTGAATCATGCAACTTAACTCTGATCATGCCGTTGTGCGACCCTGGTTATCACTTCGCTTTCTGTCAGTATTAAGCCTGCAGAAGCAGAGTAACCTCACTCACTAACTTCGACAGGCTTCAGTAGCCCAAAAGTATCGGGCCGATCTAACTAGAAAGCTACTGGAAACGCACAGATGATGAAGATTGCTTGGGGGTTGAATGGAATCGAGTTAAAGAAGCTATGCTCTCTACTTTTAGAACTGTCTGTCCAAGCCACCCAACTCGACTAAATGAACACTGGATATCGATGAGACCAGCAGTTTTCATTGCTACCAAACAGGGCGTACCAGCAACTAGACTATGAAGGCGCACATAAATCCCTCAAACACCGGATAATTAGAGCTTGAAGAACGGCAGAGAACGCTGGTGGATTGCTAAGATCCAGCAGATGGAGAAGCCTTTCGCTGCAAGCACCCCTGTGCCATATTTAAGTTTATTGGATCAACCGGCAGAAATAAGATAGGTGTTAACGAAGCAATCGGTAAAAAAAAGATGGAACGACAATTCAATTGCAAAATTGTCCTTTTGAGGGATTTACTGAACACTTCAATGGCAGTTCAGCTGGTGTTCTTCAACACAACCTCTGGAACAACCCAATGAGCCTGAATGAAGCATGGACACCAACCCACCATCAGCAAAAGAAATCCAGCGTGAGATACCATTCTTCCGGTGCGACAAGACAACTGGGACAGGTGGTTTGCGCCCGCACTCTTCAAAGAAACGGGTGAGGTCCTGGGTAACAGTCTGACGACCATAGGCAGAGGATTTGGAACCAAAACAAAGTACCAGTGGAATGGATTGTCTCGACCGTCATCCCAGTCCTCAAAAAGGTGACGACCAAAACAAAGTAACAGTGGAATGGATTGTCACGACCGTCATCCCAGTCCTCAAAAAGGCGCAAGAACGCAGTGCGGAAACTATTGTGGTACTTGCCTGGTATCCGCCAAATCTAAGGTGCTCTAAGGCATCATTTGCGCAGGTCGGTCGATTACCAGATGTTCGTGAGAATCCGAATCGGTTCCTGTCTGGCCGAGGAAGCAACCTTGAGACAAATCTTGGACAGCGTCACTCTACCAAACGTCCCACATTAGGCGTTTTTGTTGATTTGAAAGCAACTTTCGACTCGGTCATTCGTCAGAAGCTTTGACGGTGTCTGGTGATCAAGGGAGTCCCTTCAAAATTTATATCCCTTGTGGGGGTACTGTATGGGAACTCCTGTGGGCGCCTACGAGTAGACGGCAAGCTTGTGCCTGAGTTCACTACATCCACTTTCCTGTTTGACTTTGTTCTTGATGTGCTGCTTGTAATTTCTGTCTGCCCGTGAAACTTCAGGGATCGAAATACTTGGGGTGCATTCATCCACAGACATTGAGTAGGCATAACATAGTGGTCTCCTTGGTCCAGCTTTTTTAAAGTCAAAACTATTTTAAGTAACCTAAATAATTCTGTCGGACGGTTTGGTATGCGCTTTACACCTGCAAGGTGCTGCTACGAGACTTGGTGGGATCGAACCCAAACCTCGTGCTTGTAGACAAGCAAATCGACGAGGTAGATAAATATATTTACCTGTGCAGTTGTGTATGCTCTGTTAGACTGGCTAGAGGCGAGATTAGTTCTCGATTCTGGAAGGTCAGGGCAGCTTTTGCCAACTTCCAACACTTATGGCGCCAACGTGATATAAGTTTATCTGCAAAGGGCAGCGGTCCGGTGAATACTAATTTATGGATCAGAAACGCGGCTTCTACGTACTGAGGAAATATGAAAGCTGTCAGTGTTTGACCATCAGTATCTCTGAAGCATTGGTTGGGTCTGGGATTAGCCATGCTGAAGTACGCCAGATGAATTTAGGAAGAAGGAACTCACGCTGGCGCGCGTGCATCAAAGCTATCGACCTCAATGCGTAGCAGCCCACTTCCTGGACTAACTGGTCATTCCATCGCTCCCAGTGTCTCTCGCGCTCTCCCACTTTTGAGGCCAAAACTGTAACAGCAGGTACATGGATTAAAGATGATAAGCCAAACTGACGGACTGGTTGGGCCAGTCCCACGTTCGACCCACATGACAACTTCGAGTGGACACGCTCTCATTCGACAGACTACCAACTGGACATTTTCTAACGAAGATCTCGCCGGGTGTACGAGCAAAATGACTGAGTTCTCGCCCACGCACAGGTTGACTAACTGAGTGACATCACATTATGGGGAAGGGATGCGTCAACGTGCGCAATCGACATGCTAAAGGTATCCCTAGTTGCGGAAAGCAAAAAAAAATTTTAAAAATTCTTCAGCTGTAGCACCCTTTCAGTGCCTAACTGCCATACCACCCAAAGGAAACACGAGGGCTGGGATACTGCCCGGTTTCCCAAGCCTAGACAGCGGAAGTCGAGAGGCAGATGTCGGGTTCGAACTACAGACCTTCCGGTCAGTAAATTCGCCCTCTAACCACTCGGGCCATGTCGTCCCCATGCGGAAAGAAAAGCAACCAACGAAGCAACCTGACTTTCATCTTTAAAAACAGCGTTTAAGGTTGTGACTCCAACGCTGAGAGCTTAAAAAGGACGACGGGTGTCAACTAATGTAAGACCTCCAGCTATGTTCACGCGGTACCTCTCTTCTCAGGGTCACTCGGAAGCCTACTTGTGCCTCTTCAAGACTGAGCTAAAATACAGTGAGAACTTTAGCCCTGTGAACATCAAAGAACAGACGCCCTCAAAATGCACGTGCAAATTATTTCATCGAGCTATCTAGGAAGTCACCATTTAGTCGGTCTTGATGAATGTGCGTCTTAAGATAGATACTCCCATTAGTATTCCAAGGTCCAAACGGGGCGATCGTTCCTGCCGGATAAACCTGCTGCTCAAATTTCCTCCTAAGAGAACATAAGAAACAGCGAACAACCAGCAGCCAATTGACACAAATATTTCGTCTTATGAGGTGTTCTATAATTCAACTTTTCCAGACATGATTAGTAGGGTCTGAGCATACCATAACTCATCAGGCGGACTGGTAAAAAGCTTTGGACAACTAGCTACCAGTCAGATCCTTTTGGGGCTCACTAGGCACACATAGCCTCCTGATTTCCACGAATCCTAATGAACAATATTGGAAGAACGTGTTGATACACGTTAATTTGCAAATCCGGTTGGTTGTAATAGGATATACCACCAAAGCGAAGCTGGATTTTTCCTTTGTGATATTCTCCAACGGAATGTGCTGCACAACAGTCACCATAAAAACCTTATAAGTAGTGCCCACTCGACAAGGATGACGTAAACAAGCTTCTCATATCATCCAAAGTTCCATGAACCACGTCAGTTTGAGAAAAAACTTCCTGACAGTTTATTCTGTCCTTATTGAGGCACAGCGCCATTCTGGAATCTATTCTATGCCACACAAATTAGACACTCGCCTTATTCTTGCGGCCATCGATTTCAAAAAAACTGTGTGGATGCTTCCGATAGATTTCGTTTCCCGGTGGATGTCGTAATGTGCATTTGGTCTAAAAGAGATACGATGAACGGATGGGTGTAGACTTACCAAATGTCGACGTAGACACGTCGGGCTCTTCAGGTATTTGAGGCAAAATTCACAAATATACACGCAGGGAACATTGACTAACTCCTGAGGATACGGGGAAAAATACCATGGTTTCATGCGGTATCTACCCAATTCTATCCATTCCAGATTACGAATTCGTGTGATGGTGTCCTGCTCGTGATGACTGGACACCATGCTGCCGGTCTGTCGGGGCTTACCTGTTGTGCCCCCACCGGTGAAAGAGAGTGAGATCGGAACACCGTCAGGCGGTTCGTTTGTAATCGGTATATGGATCGGGCCTTCACATGAGTCATCGATCATTCTTCTCCGCTTCCACTGAAGCAAACTGGATGCGCTGGACGTGCGAGACTTCATGGGTTGGTTCTTAGCGTAAAACACAAGCAAAATAGTTTAGTTAACACAGATGGCTTACCAGTTCCGGCATCTCGAAACTGGAACAGCCTGGTTCTGTGGAATGTTGTGGCGTAGCATCATGAGGGGCGCCAAGTGTGAACACAGCAGCACTACTGTGCTCCCGGGTTAATCGCTTTGCTGGCCATTCTAGCTTCTCAAAGTTTAGCCTATCTGCGGTAACCCACTCGTCCAAGCGTTTGTTGTCTACAAGGAAGTTAGAGACACTTAAAGACAAAACACGTACAATCGTCATAATGAACATAATAATAGACCGTTGAGCTGACCTCCTTCGAGCACAGTATTTCAGCGGTATCTAGGAATAAGGGTAGAGGGGTTATTCACATAACTTACGATACATATCCGAATCAGGAAGACGTACGGGAAGCTTGCATCCTTCGAGGTTTTTGTTACTCGAAATCACCATGATATTTGCTTCCAATTAAGAGTAAATGTTGCACGTAGAGCTTTGGGTCTTGAAGCCAGGACGACCACACATCAATAGCCGAAATAGAAAAATAAGGTTATTCTCGGAGAAATAGATTGCACTTGTCGAAAAAAACTAGGTACAAAAATTTTCACAACTTATTCTCGGATCCCGCGACCTAGGACAACTTTGCAGCTTCCTATTCCTCAGCCAAACAACATGCCTTAGTTAACCATACCCTATCACATTATCCACCCTCAAAAACAATAGCAGGGGGATATCACGGTAAATTGCCCCAACTGCTGCTACCTTTTTCACGACACCATGAGTCTCTGTCGAGAACAATGGCAATACTCTAGAGGACGGGAAGAGGGATTATTGATACCATAGCACGAC